GCCCAAAACCATACAAATTCTCCCGTGGGGAGGGCAATAATGCAGAATTATTATTGAAAGCAGCAAGGTGTACATGTAATTAAGAAATTAAAGCAAGTCTTTGTGGAGTCCGTTTTATAGTTTTCATGGCCCCACTAACGCACATGGGCCGTTTGCATAAAGAAACAGTGCCCTTTATTAGTAGTTTAACACAAAGTGCTCTTGGACAAATCAACTTTTCTTTTGCTTGTTACCTAGTTTGTGTAACTCAAATGAGTGGACTTAGGATATGCTGCTCTAATCTAGTACCCGATTTAACCATCTTTTTTTTTTTTGCCCCACGTACGTACTTGGATTTTTGACACGAAAATAATGTGGAGAGCGAAATGTGTGCTGTAGAATTGCTTAAATGTAGGTGGAGCCGAACAAGTAGGTAAATTGCCCAAAGAGTGATGATTTCACCAGACCATACACGGTGCGCGGCTGGATACCTTCTCCCACTCCATGATGTGACGATGGCTTGTTTATTAGAGCAAAGTCCATTTCTTCTCGGTTGCACAACGAACCAAAAAGTCCACTTGATCATCTGCTTTATTACGTCTTTATTACGTCCAATTTGGTGTCCAGACAAATTGTGACCTCTTAATCGTTGCCCACTTTTCATCAGAATTTAGATAGATAGATAATCATATGCTTTTTGAGTATACATATATATATATATCTGTAACCACAACCGCAGATAGGAATCGCCTAGCACGCTCTCGGTTTCTTCGGTCACATTTGTCTTTTTTATTCTATTCCAAGTCCTAACTTCCCGTAGATACCTTTCTTCTTAAACAAAAACCCAAAAAAAAAAAAAAAACATGCTGTAGGTACGTCTGCTAAACAACAAAAATAATTAATAATAATGGCAGTTGACATTTTGGCTTAATTTATTGTCTATGACTAATTCCATGGCAGTGGTGGAATAGACTTACTGTGCATTTGATAGAACTGAAATCTAAAACTTGAGATATGAAATTTGAAGTTAAGTTACTGAATTGTTAGGTGCTAAATCTGATATATTTAAGTGTATATATCACATTAAGAAATAAGTGAACAACAACTTATCACTTATTTTTTGGAGCAAGTTTTGTCCAAAAAATTCAGCGTTATTTAATTCAAATGTCTGAATACATTAAGATCTGAATTTAAATGTTGAATTGGTTTATCAAACAGGCTCCCTTGCGCTTTAATGGGTTCTTGAAAGACTATACTAATCCTTTCACAGCTAATATATTCTGATTATGATATTTGATTTTGCACCAGAATACTGAGGCAGGCGTGATTTGCTCCTTGGTTTTGTATGAAACTATTGATTTGTCTGAAAAAGGGTTTCAGTTGACTTCCTTCTCCCACGCACCTTCACTTCGTCACTTCAAAAGTGAAGTTTCAAACAAAAAGGGCTCATTTTGTCACTTTTTTTTCAGTGACAAAATGGGATGGATAATCACTAGTTTCAATAAGAAATTCAAGTGAAAATTTAAATAAAAGTAGGATAGATAATCACCACTTTCCACTTATAATTAAGTTATGTTTATTCAGGTTTTGCTACTTCAGTGATGCGGTTGAATGGCTGCAATTGAGTGCTACTATCAATACTTATATTTATCCGTCGAGACGAGAGGGTTTGATTTCAAAGTCGGTTTCAATACAGAAGTTTTAAGTGAAATTTCAAATAAAAGTGGGATGGATGACCTGAGCCTAAGATGGAGTTTGTGCATCGCTTTCTTGCTCTTCAATCGAGGCGAAGATTTCACAGTCAGTTAATACGTACAGTAATTTGTAGTACTAATCGTGAGCGCTTGGATAAACCTTTTACAATCCAAACTAAACCATACCTAACCCATTTGACGAAATTCATTGCCTCCACATTTGTCTTAACTAGCAGCCGGTTGACCTGTGAGGGCATTATTATGGTAGAAAGTTTCAGATCTGAAAGATCAAACCATTTTCAATTACAAAATGATATGACAAAACAGTGACCGATTTCAAATTAGATCTTGATCTTCGTTGGTTTATTGTTAATGATCCAATGTTAAGGCGACCTACCTAAAAGGGTAATGTTTCAGTGCTATCAAATAGTATGTTGCTAGAGTTTTCGCTTAAATCATGGTTGTATGCGAGCTCCTCCTCCTCCTCCTCCCATAGGCATTGACAACCATCTGGGAAGGGGAGAAAAAAAAAAGAAGAAGCTGTTGGCTTAATGACAGTGCGTACTCTAGTGAAGACGTCAATGATTTTGTTTGGCTATTGAGAACCCAAGATCTATGGGAATCGATGAGGAAATTGAGGATTCTGGATGGATAATAGTGCAGTGCATTGGGAACCTGAGATCAATGGAAATCGATGAGGAAATTGTTTATGCAATATACTATAAATATGAAACAGTAGAAACATCAGTCCAGGGCCTCATGCAATCGTATTTATTGATTGGTGAAGAGCCGTGGAAGGGTTCCTCTTTGCTTTTCGGTGGGCAGAAGAATTTGAGCGGTCATTCTCAATCCATTTAAATGTCAAGTTTCAGGGCTCTGTCGTAGCGTTGATATTTTTGGATCCCATATGATTTGTTGAAGAGCCTCTCTCAAGGGGTACTAAACCAATTTAGATCTTTCAAAATAATAATAATAATAATAAAGGATTTTATGTTGCGTGAAATTTCTATATCGAAATTCTGATTGATTAATTTTGTGTTTTTAGTTTTAGTCTTTAAGATGTCTTCTTTTTGTGTAGATTAATTTGTTGATTTGCCCAACAACGACTATGCTCATGTATCTTATCACTCCTCCAGGGGGAAACAAAAAAAAAACACTTTATTGTGTAAATGTCTATGAAATACTCCCCCTGTCCCATTTTGATAATTCTAATTTTTTTTTACACAGTGTAAGAAAAAATAATTAACTTTGTTGGAAAAATAAATTTAGATTGCTATTTTTCTAAAATACCCTTACATTAAATAAAGTTGATTTTTCGTATATCAATATGTTTTGGAAAATCTAAATGCATTAAATGAGGTAAGTTATATTCAATACTAAAAATCTATATTAAATAAGGTAGTTTATAGTAATAACAACTTACATTGAATAAGGGTATTTTAGAGAAATTAAAAGATAATTATATTTTTTAATTAGAAAATAGACTATAATTTGAGACGGATGAAAAAGAAAAACAGAACTATCAAAGTGGGATGGAGGGAATATTGGCTAAGACTATAGGAAACCACAGAGCCGCATCTTATACTAATCATCAGTACTACAAAATGACAGCTCCCAAAAGAGTGGTATCTCAACCTAAAAGGACTCGTCGGTGGCTTCACCGACGTCCAAAAATATATTCGCTCAAAACAATTCAATTGTCACCAAATTCAAGACGGAAAGAGGTATACTTAATTTGTTTAATGCAGTTGGTTAAGCGTTTCACGTCATCTCTCATCTACTAGACAATTGAATCACTGCCACTCGCCACTCAAGAATTGACACAAATGGGACATGACTTTTAGGAGTGTTAACAACCACCTAGGCACTGATCAGTGATTCAATCATCCCGTGTTATGTATTTATTCTGGCCCTTTTCGTGTATGCAATCAATTTTTTTTTTTCTTTTAATTGAAAGATGTTGTGGCGAAGCATATAAATTTCACTTAACTATATTCCTTTTTTTTTTTTATGGTCCGGAGAGATATTCCAAAATCACCCGAACTAATTCCCTTCAAGCTGGGCAAAGCTCGTCCCAAAGATGCCCAACAACGACACGAGTGTCGAACCCCCCAGACCTTACTGGGGGGGGGGGGGGTTAGTTTTGTTGTATCACATAACTCCTGCACAACCTGTGGCTCTGCAATCGTTGTCACATTACCCTTGGAAAAAATAAAAATAAAAACGATTGATGCGCGACGGATCGAGGGGGCCTCTCCAGTTGATTCTGTCTAGTTGGATTCAATAGTTGTAATTCTTACAATTTTTGACATAATTTCATACAATTTTGATATAATTGCAAATTATTTGTATTATTGACAAGATTTATATTTGAATAAAAGTGATGCCATTTGTCACTAAATATTGCATGATAACCAAATAGAACTGGATAAAAGTTCAACGGGAGAGCCCTGATTCATGCATGACCATATAGAGGCTACTCTCTTGACCTATTATTGAACCTATTTAAATATTTACTTTTTTTACTTTTTTATTATACAATTAATCCTTTTTAAATTTGAAATTGACAAAATTTGAATAATTAAAATTTTATTTTATTCTTAATCAAAGATAAAATAACACAAAAATGATTGTTTCATTATTTGACTATATTATTTGTTTGTATAAAAATATGAAAAAAATGAAGTTAAATCTTCTATTAATGTTTATATTTTCATTATATACTTTTCTAAAAACACATTGTTAGATATTTGAAGCATGTTAAAATTACCATTTTATATTTATAAATATTAAGTTAATACACATCTATTTAACCAATAATCCACTGCATGGAAACTAGTGACTCATTGATCCTATCCTTCTATCTGTCGGGTTTCCTTGTCGGGTTGGGTTTAATATCTATGTGGGAAAGCCCAATGCCAGTCCATCAGCGAGCCCATAACACCTTCTTCATTATGTGTCCAAATGCAGAGATTTGATCAAAGGGAGCTGCTATGTACATAATTAATTGCACTACACGTCTGAATTTGTTTTACACGCTCTTTTTAAGGCAATTTAGCCCACAATAAAAACCTAACTACCATGTGTGGAAGTTGCTCTTTAATTCCCTTTCTGATACTACTAGACTATAATTAACCTCTATGTGTATCTATCAGTCACTTGGAACTGGTTTGAAAAGAACGAACGATCGAAGGAGGCAAAAAATCCAGCTCTATATTCCTTATTCCGTATTTTTCCCAAAATTGATTCGTCATTCATTTATTCAGCATGTCTAAACAAATCACACCAAAAAAGGAAAAAAAAAAAAAAAAGAAAGAATGAAAAGAATCAGTACGGAAGAATTTCATTATTGTTCCCCAAACGTAATCGAGAAAAGGAACTCAGGAATTTTGCGGAGACACGATCGAAATGCCTCACGGATCGAAATGCCCCGACCGTAGTCGTCGCTGCGTCGTCATCATCATCTTCTTTAGCAGAGGATGAGGAACCATCTGTACTGCTCTCCCCCTGCATCTCAATGATCACAGAAGATTGATCCATTGACAATGACCGCTTCAGCCCTGTTATTACACGTGCCGACGATGACGCCCTCTCCGTAGGCAGTAGTTCCAGAGACCCAGAATGCCGAAGCAATCCAAAACTAAAAGACCCCGATGATGATGATGACGACGAGGGGGAGGAAGCATCGTTACCATAATCTTGACCCGGAAACTCAACCCCACTGCTTCCAACATCAAACGATGATGAAGAAGTAAACACTTGCAGCGGCGGAGGTGGCGAGGAGGGGGGAATATCGTCATTCACCGTCGCCGCCGGGGCGACAATGGGGGACCTGCAAACGGGGCAGCTGGTATGCGCCACGAACCATTCGTCGATGCAGGGGACGTGGAAAGCGTGCCTACAATTTGGCAACAAACGCACCATTTCTCCTTGTTCCAGCGCACCCAAGCAAACGACGCATTCGCTCTGATCCACGCGAAACAAACCGCCCTGTTGTTTGGTGGGTGAGTAGGCAATGATCGGCATGGTTTCCAGGAGTTTGTGGTCGACTCCAGAGGGTAGTGACGGGGATTCGGGGACTGCTTGAGCCACAGCGTTGCCATTGGAGGCGGTTTGAGGAGTCCTCCTGTGGCAGTATCTGATTAAGATGAAGTGGTAGATTACTAAAACTACGCAAGTGGAGAATACGCCAATCATGGATATCAGCAGGGGTGTGTAGAAGGAGGAATTTGGAGTACCGGGACGTGAATTGAGGCTCTCCATGGATCATCGTCTTAATATCAATCCCTCATATTTGGTGCAGCTGAAGCCTTCGTGTCTAGGTTAGGTTTTAATTAGAACCAAGAGGGAACGCTCACTCTTCAAGATTTTAGAGTTATGTTTTCTTGTTTTTTCGGGTTACTTTGGTTTTGGAAGTGGCCTGGATGGGTGCATTCGGTTCCTTTTTATACGTCTGACACTGGACAAGTAGACAGGTAGCCTACATCCCATGCACAGGCAGCCCGACATCTAATTACCAGTACCATTTTTCACATATATGTATGTATATGGTCAAATTCTCCCTTTTTTGTATATTCATTCGCGTTGTTACCATTTCATCCAATTAAATTAAAGTGGTAGTAGCTTTTTCAAGCACTGAAACAAAGCGTGTGAGGCTTGACAATTTGAGTTATTTTATTTACTAATTAGGGAAGTGTATTTCACAAAAGCTGATCCCATGTAAAATTACAAGTGGCATAATTTAATTTCTTAACGTTGTTTTCCTTAATTCATTTATGCGATGAGCTGTAAATACTGAGGTCGGACAAGACATATATATATATATATAATTATATATACACTTGGACGCGTGCGGGTGGACGAAACACATGTGGTCAGAGCAGGAACAAGTGGAGGGATGTAAAGGGGAGAATGAATAGGTTCCGGCGATTCTATATGTTCGGGCAAGAGACCAGACAGGAAGCAATTTAGATTTTAGAGCCTAGGCCGAAGGCATCGTTGGCTTGTTCAACTACTCTCACGGAGCCTTGCCAAGGCTCTTGCTTGGCTTCTAGCAAAGGAACAAGAAATTTGACCGGCTGGCATGGCACGGTGATATCGAGTCTTTCGTCCACCTTTGCATTTACCCATGTTCGGAGGTGGATGCTGCTGACGACTGACGACTGACGACTCATGCCCGTATGCCAGTCTCCGACTCGCAAGGCACGTTTAGTAGTAGACAAAAGGAAAAAAATAATAATAATAATCAAACCTATGTTGGCGTTTATCCTTATCCAAATTGTATGATTTGGCTGCCTTAGAAATAATAATAAAGAGTTAAATGCACTAAATTCCCTACACTTTACCCTTATTTGCACCTTACTTTCTTGAACTCCTTTATAGGCCCCCTATTTGATGTTTTAGAACAAAAATGCCCTTGCAATATTATTTTATTTTTTCTCCTTGTATAGTCATTTCTTTGTTTTTCCTTTTCTACTACATTCGTTTCCTTTTTATTGTTTTTCATTTTTTTTTCTTGTTCACTTTTCTCATGTAACTATTTCCTTCAACTTCCTATTTAATTGTGTGCTTGTCATCAAATTGTAGTTTTCTTTTACTTATGATTTTATCTTGTTTGAGTTTATTTATTTATTTACACTAGTGGACACTTTTATCCTAAAACGTCAAGCATGGGACAAGGTACTTAATTAATAAGTTCAGAGGAGTAAAGTGTAATTGAGAGTAAAGGTTAGGAGTGCATTGAATCCAAAATTTCAAAAAAAATAAAAATAAAAATGCTCTTAGTACGGGGATTATCAGTTGAGATAAAGCGTATTTGAGGATCAGGCCTAAAGAAAATGCTGAGCATTTGTGGATCGTGATGGGCTGAAGAATCTGTCAATTTTCCACCTGCAAGACGCCAATCTCTCTTTGTGCGGTGTCCAAGGCTAGGCCCAATCCACTGCCAACGCCACTCTTCAGAGTAATGTGGACCTATAATCAGATCAGCCTTTTTTTCTGGTTTAACTTCTAAGAGCCTTAAAAAAACACACACACACACACACACACACACACACACACACACACAAGGCCACAAAATTAAGGAAAGAAACAAAAAATAAACGTAACAAAGAAATTCTTCTAGATTTTCCTATAATTTTAGTATGTGATTCTTACTTAACTCCCTTTTGTTACCTGCATAATTCTATACACGTGCTTTGATGGTAAATTCATCCAAAAGCTTGTGAAGCATAAAGCTGCTAAGCGCTAAGAGCTCCAAATTTATTTATTTATTTTTTTCAATTTTTGCTTATCCAGCAAAATTTTTATCTGATAATGGTTTCCATTCATCCGATTCAATTTCCCTTCCGAGCGGTGCGAGTTCATTTCAACTGTGATCTGATGTTTGAAGGAACACATAACTAGCTACAACAGGAAACCTGAGAGTATTTAGGGTGACATTTCATGAAATCACAATTAATGTTGACGATGAAGGCCGGACCAATTGGCAGGATTTTATACTTTGTTTCAAGTTTGAATCTCACCTGTTTGCAATCTTTTATTGGCCGACGATTCATTGACAGCACTAGTTGGCGTGTTTTGGACATCAAAATTTTTTTCAAATCCAAACACACATATATTTCAAGTCAATGTAATGGCCCGCCCCTGCAATCATTATTATCTTCTCCTGCTCAAGCAGTAATAAAACCACGCAGTAGCATGACTAGTCTCCCAGCTTTGAACAATTTATCTATCAGCGGAAATTAATTCAGCTGATTACGCTGCTGCTCTTCCCAGCCAACTGATGTTCCAAAAATTTGACCAAATGGCAACAATTCCTCATCAACCCCGACTCGACGATGCTGATGCTGATACTGAACCCGAGCATTCGATTTACAGCGATGAGCTGAAGCCAACCACATCCCACCAGCGCAGTTTTTCTTGGTTGGAAATGGGCAGTTTGTGGGTGGGACTCGTGGTTGGAGTGCCGGCCTACTACGTGGCTGGAAGCTTAGTAGAGCTGGGGATGGCGTGGTGGCAAGGGATTCTCACCGTTGTTTTAGCCAACATGATCTTATTAATCCCGTTAATCCTCACAGGATATGCCGGCACGCTTTACGGCATATCATTTCCGGTCTTGGCTCGATCATCTTTTGGCATTCGCGGAGCCCACGTCCCCGCTCTTCTTAGATCACTGATTGCCTGCGGTTGGTATGGGATTGAAACATGGATTGGAGGTCAGGGAATCTTTCTTCTCTTGCCTCAAACCGCCAAAGAATCGGCCTTGTCAAAAGCTTTGCCCTGGTTAGGCACTTCCCCCCTTGAATTTGGTTGTTTCGTAGTATTTTGGCTAGCACAACTGGCCATCTTTTGGTACGGGATTGATGGGATCCGGAAGCTGGAAAAGTACGCTGCTCCAGTTCTAATCATATTCGTCTCTTGCCTTCTCGTTTGGTCTTATATCCAGGCTGGTGGATTCGGCCGCATGCTCTCCTTATCTTCGAGGCTCTCACCTTCAGAGTTTTGGTCTCTTTTCTTCCCATCATTGACAGCAAATATAAGCTTGTGGGCTACTCTAGCGCTTAACATTCCTGATTTCACCCGGTACGCCAAGAGCCAAAAAGATCAGATCATAGGACAAGCAGGGCTTCCAATTTTTATGGGTGCATTTTCATTTGTCGGCCTGGCAGTAACTTCATCAACCGAAGTGATATTTGGCCGCGTGATCTCCAACCCGATTCAACTTCTGGGCGAAATTGGCGGCGGATTCTGGATCAAGATTGTTGCTGTTCTAGGCATAAGCCTTGCGACAGTCACAACCAACATCGCCGCTAATGTCGTTGCTCCTGCAAATGCGCTAGTCAATCTAAGTCCTTCAACGTTTACCTTTCAAAGGGGGGCTCTGCTGACGGCAGTTCTTGGAATTGCCTTCCAACCATGGAGGGTCTTTGGATCGAGTGAGAGCTTTGTTTACACCTGGTTAGTCGGCTACTCTGCTTTGCTAGGACCCGTTGGGGGCGTAGTCTTGGCAGATTTTTATCTCATTCAGAATAGAAATTTGAGTATCAAGCAACTGTACTCACTGAATCCTAGCGGGACATATTGGTATTCAGGTGGATATAACTTAGCAGCAATGACAGCTTTGGTTCTGGGGATTCTACCGGTGATTCCAGGTTTTCTCCACGAGGTTGGGCTTTTGAGATCAGTCCCACATACATTGGCTTTAATTTACGATAATTCTTGGTTTTTCGGGTTCTTTTCTGCTGGAATTCTCTACTGCATCATTTCACTGTTCAAGGGAAAACAAAGTAAAGATGGGCTAGAACCTCTCATGCCTCCCAAGTCCAGTCCCTAGAGTTAACAACACTGTTGGCATTTGCATGTAATCTGTAGCCAAACAATTTGTGCACATTATCCTTCAAGAGAAAAAAAGATCATGGCGTTCAATCTAATACATCTATGACCTCTTTTTGATACTCTCTTATCTCACAACCCCCTAACACCCCACAAAAAAAAAGAAAAAGGATAGAGAGAGTTTTTATCTATTGCAGATTCCCGACAGTTCATCTTTTAATCTTATATGTGCAATTAAATAGTTGGACTAGCTCGTGGCAGAATAGTAAAAGTAATGTAAAATAGAGCTCTGTAGCGTAAAAGTCAAATTATTCTATACCAATACCAATATTATATTCGTGCATAATTGGATGCGAATCCAATAAAATCCACTTCATTATTCATTTTTAGATGATCTCCATAGTTAGATGAGGTTTCTGATAATTTCATTGAGTTTCCATGAAATTTGAAAAATTGCACATACCTTCCTTTATCATTTAAAATGACAATACTACCCTTAAATATTTTAATGAAATTCACTTATTTGGTATGTGTATGGTTAGAATGATTTTTAAATTATTTTTTCATCCTTTGTTCTTCTTATTCCTTTTTATTTTAATTTTTCGTCAATAAAATTGTAAAATTACCATTATTATCTCTAGTTTCTATTGTAACTAAATGTTGAACTAATGATTTTCTTATGAGTTAACTTTATACATAATCCCATGTTTTTTGCTATTCTTTGTTTTCTATTTTTGGTATTAAAATTAACAATAAATAAAAAAAATTGCTCAAAATCACTACTAAATTATGACAATCCTACTATTCAAAAAATTTATAAACTCTGAATCAATTATTTCAAAATTTTATTTTATATCTTATAAATCTAAATCTATAATAAAATACCATCAAATATATCTTATCATAGTTGTTTATCAAATAGTAGGTATGGACACGAACAATTCAACACATTTTTCTTATAATTACATTAGATAATCTTATAATTTTATAGGGAAGTAAATTAAAATTCACTATACATGGGCATTTTTGGGTATTCATTTAAAAATTTGACCATATCAATATTATTTTAAAGTTTTGTTAGTAAAACTATCAAATCAATGGAGGTATGTGTATTTTTCAAAATTTAGGGGAGCTCAGTGAAATTATTAGAAATCTCAGGGGAGGTTTCTCAAATTATCCCTAAATAAAAACCTTATAACTATGCCAGAGCTTTAGCCAATTAGTATCACTGGTGACGAAACAGATCCGCCACCACCCGTTAGCCTATCCCAAAACCCATTAACGTAGAGACTAGAGGGGGAAACGTTAGCCAAACAGATTCTCCCACCTGCGGAATCTTTTTGACAAGTCAGCAATGGTTTCGTCCAAATGCTTCAGCCTCCGTCTACATCCCCATCCCCACCACCTCCACCACCGTCAACGCCATGGCCTCCCAAATAGCCCAGCAACTTTCCCAAATCGCAGAAGGGATCACCCCTTCAACTCAAACCAAACTCCCGCACCAACTAAACTGTCCATTTCCGACAGAAGTGAAGCTTATCATCCCAACACCAATATCCTCCAAAGTGGGATATGTTCCCCCGCCATATTAACCATGGCAACAAGTCAACCCCAGTGTAGTCCCGAGTTTGACGTTCTTGCACCTGATCCTACTCTAACCAATGATGATCTCAAGCCAACAGCCTCCGGTCAGCGGACTTTTTCTGGATTGGAAATGGCCACCTTGTGGATTGGCCTTGTGGTGGGAGTCCCATCCTACTATCTGCCGGAAGCCTTGTTGACCTCGGAATGGCCTGGTGGCAGGGCATTGCGACAGTTGTTGCAGCCAACATAATTCTATTAGTTCCGCTAATTCTCACAGGCCACCCTGGCACGCGTTACGGCATATCATTCCCTGTCTTGGCTAGATCTTCCTTTGGGATTCGCGGTGCCCATATTCCAACTCTGCTCAGAGCATTGGTCGGTTGTGGTTGGTACGGGATTGAATCATGGATTGGAGGTGAGGCAATTTTCCTTTTATTGCCAGAGGCTGTTAAACAATCGGCCTTATCACAAACTTTGCCTTGGCTCGGCACTTCGGTTGTTGAATTTTCTTGTTTTATTGTATTCTGGCTCGTACAATTGGCATTTGTTTGGAATGGAATCGACGGTATTCGGGAGCTGGAAAAGTACTCTGCTCCGATTCTGGTCGTGCTCACCTCCTGCCTTCTTGCATGGTCCTATATCAGCGCCGGCGGATTTGGTCACATGCTCTCTCTATCTTCAAGGCTTTCATCTTCAGAATTTTGGGCACTCTTCTTTCCTTCACTGACTGCAAACATAAGTTTCTGGGCTACTCTTGCCCTGAACATCCCTGATTTCACCCGATATGCAAAGTGTCAAACTGATCAGATCATAGGCCAAGCAGGGCTTCCACTTTTCATGGGTGCATTCACATTCGTTGGCTTAGCAGTAACTTCATCAACTAAAGCCATTTTCGGCCACGTCATCTCCAATCCAATTCAATTGCTGGGCGAAATTGGAGGGCTCTGGACGATGATCCTTTCTATTTTTGGCATCAGCCTAGCAACCATCACAACCAACATTGCTGCTAACGTTGTGGCCCCTGCCAATGCGCTAGTCAACCTGAGCCCTTCAAGATTTACCTTCAGACGAGGTGCACTGCTCACTGCAGTTCTTGGAATTGCATTCCAGCCCTGGAGACTTCTCAAGTCTAGTGAGAGCTTTGTTTACACATGGCTAGTTGGCTACTCTGCACTTCTAGGACCGATTGGGGCCATTCTGTTAGCAGATTATTATCTTGTTCAGAAAACTAATTTAAGTATTAAGCAACTCTACACATTGGATCCTCGGGGTGCATATTATTACTCGGGCGGATTCAACTTGGCTGCAATGACGGCTCTGGTTCTTGGGATTTTGCCAGTAGTCCCAGGATTCTTGCAGAAGGTTGGGATTTTGAGCTCAGTTCCAGAATCACTGGTTCTTGTTTACAACAATGCTTGGTTTTTCAGCTTCTTTTCTGCTGGAATTCTCTACTGTATTTTGTCATTTTTGAAGGGAAAAGAGAACAACGATGCGTCCATGGACCCCCTAGTACCATCTACATCCTAGTCTGCCTACTAAACAATATGTTTTTTTTTTTCTCTCTTATTTCTAAGGGAAGTAGGCAATAGGTTTTATACAGCGTGCATAGTTTCAAGTGCACCTTAAATTTGCATTTGCAGCAACAAAGGAGTTCAAATCTTCTTGTGATCGTTCAATGATCCAAATTTGTACCATGTAAAACCGCTGCATCCAACCCCTTGGATATGGAATTATGCAACCAAAAATGAGCTTACCAAAGAAAAATTATATAATAATTTGGGCATATACTCAAGAGTTAAGATTAATGGCTTAAAAATTTCTATGCTCTTGAGTTGCTGTGCTTTGGAATTTGAATCTGCTGCAGACCCTGCCGATGAAAAACACCATCGAACCGAAAAGATGAGGTCTAAAAGGGTGAGTTGCTAAGTTTGCATGGCCCATAAGGCCAATTTTTCCCATTGGAAGTAAAAATGGGCCTCTCAGTATAATGAGCGAGCCGCATCCAGCATCTGTAGATATGTCGGATCAAAAACTTCAACTATGTAACACGTCCAAGTCCAACTAATTGATGATTGGCCATCCCAAACTTGCATGGGCAGCTACCTCTGAAGCTGGGCCGTCCAGTTAGGCGGCAATTGTATTTTTTTGACTGGATACGCAGGAGCAAATCATTTCTTAGTCGTAGTGTCCAAAGGCCCGTAAAAGTTTCTCAGAGCCCAGCTACTGATGTTAATGGTTAAAAAATTTTTGAAAGTGTCTTAAGATTAATTTTTTTTTATCCTTTCAATAACTTTTTGATGCGTCAACAAATGCGAATCTCCAGGTTTAATTAAGTCCCCAGGTTGGCCTCAAGAGTTGCCGGCTTTTGGAGTTAAATCTGGGATTAGGTTTAATTACCTAACTTCAAAGGTCTGGAAAAAAAAATGCGAATCTCCTGTCAATAAAAAAGGTGAAGAAAAAAATCAACGAATCTCATCATATGCCCCTGCAAATAGTGGCAGCACCTTTTTTTTCCCCATATTTAGACACTCTGTTTGATAATTCAATTCAACACTTAAAGTTAATAAATTCAGATGTTAACATATTCAGACGCATTTGATAACAAAAAATATAATATATAAATTAATTAAGTCGCAATACTTATACGTCACTGAATTTTCTAGCAAAACTTGTTTTAAAAAATTAGTGATAAATTATTCACTTATCACTTAACGTGATATATATTCAAAAAAAAAATGTATCAAATTTAATACTTAAAATATTAGTCACTTAACGAATTTAGATTTCAAGTTTTATTAAATGCACCCTTGGTTTGGTAAGTTCAACACTATTAACAGCTTAAGGAAGTGCTAATTTAAATTTCTAAACCTGGTTGGACAGCTGCAATGCACTCGCAGATAGACAAAATGTAGTGAAGCAAGTGAGATCACGCTGAATTAGGTAATTAATTCCTCGTACATCTGTATTTTTGCACTCTGGAGGGTTTTGCTCTACTCTGCTGTCTTACTCCAAGAACAAGTCCCATAAGAAAAATTCCAACCTGCCATGGATTCCATTCGTGAACAACAAAACAGTCCCAATCCCTTTACTATTCAAGAGTCCCAATCCAACATCGCGCTGGATTATAAATTGTCAACAGCAACTAAATCTTTTTAAATACTCCTTATTAAATGAATGTGACAAATATCTAATGTACTAATTAGTGTACAATTTATCTAATGCAGTAAAGAAAATGCCTAAACAAAGCTGGTTGACCAAGCCGTGTGATGGAACACATAGAAAAAAAAAACTCGGACAGAAGAGATGTTTGTTAGGCAAACTAACACATCATTTATCTCTTTCTAAAAATGTTGAATGGGAAGAGTGTTTTCCCATGTGGCTCCATGAGAGTGCACAAAAGGATTACAAAGGGAGAAATTCTGATGTATCCAATCTTGTAATATCAAGTTCATGAATGAAGTGAATTTATGATGTTTGACAAAAAAAATTTATCTCTTTCTTTTGTGGGTTTCAACTTTCAATTCAAAAGGAAAACAAACAAACAAGCAAACAAAGGGGAGGAGGAGGAGGAAACTGTACTGTCCTCGATGGATAGCCACAGAGCCAG